CTTAACAGTGCGCAGAAAGCTCGCCAACTGTTCCGCTCCTGTTCACGGCCCAAAAATTTCTTGAAGGAAACATTTATTCCAGTATTGCTCTTTTCGGTAAACCAGGTCTGGTCCAGTTGCGAAATCCTCAGTGGAGGTATGCGCCTGCAGAACCGTTGTGCAAAAGGCACTTTCGCCGGCCGCCTCTGGGCAAAACAATCGACTTTATGCAATCATTAAAAGTTACGATACGAAGGCGGAGGGATGGATGACTCATAAGTCGGTTTACCGTCTAACAGCTTAGTATCATTTCTGGTACTTATTTTTTTAGAGGCATTTGCTACTGATCTTGACAACGTGTACCCTGGAAATGCTCTTTTGGAAAATTGGTGAATTTTAAAAGTAAATACGGTGGGCCTGACTTATGTTGTCCGCCCCCCCCCCCGCCAAACAGGACATAGGAATAGGTAGGCCCCGCCAAAATAATAAAGGTGGACCTGGGCAAATTATTCCCGCGTACTAAATCCAACAATAACTCGAATATAAAACTAAACCGTTGCCCCAAATTTGGGTCCTAATCCTACCCTAAACCTTAGATCTTCAGTTAACACTAGTCCTTAACTTAACACCAAATTTCATCCTAACTCGCCTTATCGTTAACTTTAGATTTAGCCTTAAATCTACTTCTTGACCCAATCCTGATTTTGCTGGAAGTCGGCTCTAAGCCACCCCTATTGAGGCAGTTCCTGCTGTCATGTCCGGCTTAGGGGACCATATAAGTCAGTCCTACCTTAAATGCAAAGACTGGCATTCAGAAAAATTGTCCAAATTTTGACTGTGACTCTACTCATGGGTTATCCTGTATATACTACTTAATGATCTATAGGCCCTATTCTGTTTGTCAGCTTGAGAGTTCGTTCTATGCTAGTCGGTAGTGCAACTCCGCCGACGCTACCTGTTCCACTGAAAAAAAACGTGTTTTGGTTTTAATGCCTGATAAGCTTCGTCTCATACCATACTTTGGTTGGGTACGGTGGCAGTAAGGCAAGTGGAGTGGCTGCTAGCCAGCGCATCCACTGACTCACAGAAGGGTTTGCGCATATCCAGTCTGGGCAAGATCTTACTTCGTGGCTGTTATAATCCGGCCTGATACTCGAAATCCTGTGGAGCGTATACGCACTCGGCCCTTGTATCCAATACCAACGCGGCAGAGAAGGAAAACGCGACCGGCCACGAAAATGTATATTAGGAAATTGCAAGTCAAAATTAACTGGAAGTAACGCATATTTATAATGCCCTACTGTGCTTCGCCGACGTTCGGCCCAGTGCCCTTCGGGAAGAGCATTCCAGACGAGCCGGTCGATAATTCGAATATGTAGATCGATCAGGCCCGAGAGGAAAAGCCAATAGAGAGGCGCCGCGATTATACTGACCGCGCGGTAGAGAAAACGCACGTGGCCTCCAGTGATTGGCTGGATCTTGTTTTTGGGAGTGTAGGCACTCCCAACAGTAGCCGTACCTGTTAGGGTTTAGGCTGGGGCCTGTCTACTGCAGGCACGGCTACAAAATCAGATCCGACCCCAGTCCGCATCGCTTCATCTGTTGATAGCGGCACGCAGAAGAAAGGAGTAGGCACCAGGAGGATCACCCCTCCCCGTGAACTGTCAGCTTCTGCGTCCCCTCCCTGCTTTTTGGATCAAAAACACTAGCCAGTAAGAAATGTGCCTTTAATTGCTATGAACACGAGTAATCCCGGAAGAGGGCGATCGCATCGTGTGTTCACTCACTTGCGTGCACAAACCAGACCACTTCCGGGTGTCTTGTCAAATAACTCCGCTTGCGCGTATCACGCCTTTCCTTCCTTCCTGGTATGTACATTAAAAAGAACCAGGCCTGGGAAGGACCATTAATCAGAGCAGGAAAATGGTCTTTAACTGTGAAATGGCCCTATTCTCCGGTCGTAATACCGATCCTGTGTGTGGTGTCGTCTGGGCCGCTGGCATTGCGCGCCTTCATCGTAGTTTTGCCGTAAACAATACGCGATGCCTCTTCACGCCGCCGCTTTCCTGAGATATCAGGCGGCTGGAATTTTAGAACAGGAAATGGTGCGGGCGCCCCATGCACGCGCACACACATGCCTTCCACGCCAAGCAGCGTGTGATTACAGCTTTCGGGTGGTGCACACATTCGGCGCCCAACCAATGCTGTTCACGACCTCGGGAACCCTCCAATCAATTCGCCAAGCACGTAGTGGGTCTCACGTGAGATGCATACGTAGACTTCTGGGTTCAACCTTGAATTGTTCAGAACCGGCTGCGCGTCGAGGGCCCGGGCCACCGTCAGGCTCCTGCACAGAATAAACCCCTCCCATTTATGTCCAACAATCGGGAGACTGGGTCCGGAATGCGTGGTGTTTGGAGTAGGACCTATGATTTAGCCGCTACAATGGTTATCGCCTCCCATATCTTAATGCAGAATCTTCATTTTCTACTCAGGATAAGGCTCGTACCCCAGGGCTTCCGGAACACGCACGGCCTAGCGTTTTGTTCTCACGCATTGAATAGTGAGAGGTCCTTGTGGTAGTCACTAACGCTTATTTCCGAAAAAGTCAAACATTATTCAGAATGGTATTGCCGACAAAGACAAGGGAGACTGGACTAGCCATTTCTGGCCTATAAGCCGTCGTCAGCCAGTCATACCCAATCCCGAAGTGCGGAACACCCGAGGCTCGAACTCGCGACCTATTAGTTAGAAGTCAAACGCCTCTAACCACCGGGCCACGGACCCGTTGTCCTGTTCCGTAGAATCGATCGGAACGCGCCCCTCTACCATTGTATATTCCCGATCGCAATCGACAGGACAACG